GAAGTCGTAGAAATTTTCAGACAACCATTTTTGACTTTTCCCAGAGGTGTGGCATGGGGCCGAATCCTGCTGCCATACATACGGCCTACCTTTGGCTACCCTTGTTAACCAGGGCTTGACTACATTTTTAAAGCCCAAATTCCAATGCCAGGGTTCTTCAACACCTGTTCCTGCAAATTTGCAAGAAATTCTGCTGTATGAACATAATCAGATCGTCTGCTAGGGATCTTTCTTCTTGCTACATCCTCGTAGTCACCATTGCAAGTCTCTAGTTCATGCCTGATTGTTTTTACTGCAAGGGAGCATTGGGCAGCAGTCATAATATCCGTATTTTGATGGTCGGCACGAATCATCATGATGTAAGTAATTCTCTTCCATGATTCAGGTGGGTTCCAGTCATTCATTCTTTCTGACATCTTGTATATGAATGAAAAAGGGTCCAAACTTTTAAATGATGAGTAGTGTGTGTCAATACCTCCAACCTACGGAAAAATATAATCAATTACAGTCAAAAGTTTACTTTATTAAACATTTCTTTTAACGCGCGGATGCGTAAAGCATATCTTACGCATAGCCGAAATTAGAAAAATTGCAACCAGAAAACTATTTGATTTGTATTCGTGATATTTATAATGACGAGAAATTTGATTTAAATCATATCAAAGACGGAGTACATCGAAATTAAATACTACATTTAGTAAGGAATTATAAGCCGAATAAAATAAAAACAACTGCCCTGAAGATAACGATAGTGTTGACAAATCAACTTCCAGTTCATTGCGCGCCGCGACGTCCCCCCCCTCGCGCAGAGCAGCGTGAAATTGATAAACAGATTTCGGAAGGGTTAGATAAACAAAGAATATGCCTTTATCCATTTTTTTCTAGCAATTCGTTTTTTGTTTGATGGACATCGAAACATACTTTCGTTTTGTAGATCCTTTGGGAGCTCCAGCATCGGAAATTCTATTTGACATAATCGAAAGTTCAAGCTTACTTTTATAAAATTGCTCTTACAGTCTGCAAAAAATAATAAGCCAGATCCAATTTGAAGATTAAGGAACAATGCAATCATCAACATTAACTGAAATAGATAATTAGATAATTTTAGCTTATACCGTCCGTTATATATTAAACGCGCACGCAAAAACGTATTCTGCACTTGCGCAGACGCATATGCGCAGTCGTTAATGTCTTGCGCGCACGAGTAAAATGCCTATGCGCATGCGCAGAAAGATTTTAGCTTTGAGGTCCGGATTATGGGTGTCCGAATTAACGACTTTTGACTGTATAAATATGTCAAATTTATCCCGAACATCCTGTAATAAATAATTAAACTGGTATAATGCAGACTTAAATTCTGCAGCCTACTATAAAAGCAAGACAAAAATTAGTGGAACAACATGTTTTTTGTCTCCAGTCTCGTGATAGATTGCAAGTGATAGCAGATTCTAACTAGCATTATAATGATAACCGTAAATTTCAAGGTGTTTCAGATGTTGCAAACAAAAAGCAAAATTTTCTAATTAATTGAACTTTTGAAGAAGTGTGGAAAACTCGTAATTAATGGGGATGATATAGCATAAGTTTTTCATTGTTTCAGTTGTTTCAAACTTCAGTTGACAGTTTAATAGGAATCTCAATTCAGTAGTTACAAGATTTGAATGATGGAACCTTGTAACTGAACAAGAAATTATGGCTATCTACAAAGTAAGGGGAAGAGTTAGCATAAAAAAGGAATCAACTTGTACTTGAAAGAAACATTTAATAAAGCGAAAAATTTTTGACCCCCCCGTGTTTTAAATTTTGTTCCTTTAATGTCATAAATGCTTCATTATTTCATAAACAACTACAGTCAAAAGTCGTTATTCCGGACTCGTCGGGACTTCGGCGATTCCGGATTATAGATCATCAGTTTAAATCTGGTAAGATGGCATGCAGAAATTATAAAATTAAAAATATGAAACCGTAATTTATGAAATAAAGAACATTTATTATCTAAAGGATATCAAAATTTACAACAAAAAAAAAAAAAAAAAAAAAAAAGCTTAATATTTATTTGTTTACTTTATTAAACATTTCTTTCAATGTAAGTTGTTTAAATTGCTTCGTTTTATGTGATAATACTTTCTCTTTAATTCTATAAACAGACATAATTTCTTCTTCAGTTACAAAGTTCCGCTGTTCAAGTCCTATAATTGCTGTGTCGAGAATACCGACTAATTTGTTAATCGAAATTTTTTCGTTTTCAATAACCTCTGTGTCACTTTCTTCGCTATCGAAAGCGAATTATAATGACGAGGAATTTGATTTAAATCATATCAAAGACGGAGTACATCGAGATGAAATACTACATTTAGTAAGGAATTATAAGCCAAATAAAATAAAAACATCTGCCCTGAAAATAAGGATAGTGTTGACAGATCAACTTCCAATTTATTGCTCACCATGACGTTTCCCTCCCCAACCCGCCATAGAGCAGCGTGAAATTGATAAACAGATTTCGGAATGCTTAGAGAAACAAAGGATACGCCTTTATCCATTTTTGCAGCAATTCCACTTTTTGTTTGATGGACATCGAAACATACTTTCGCTTTGTAGATCCTTTGAAATTCTATTTGAATCGAAAGTTCAAGCTTACTTTTATAAAATTGCTCTAACAGTCTGCAAAAAATAATAAGCCGGATCCAATTCGAAGATTAATGAAAAACGCAATCTGCAACATTAACATCAATGTGAAATTGGATTAAGGAACAACGCAATCTGCAACATTAACTGGAATAGATAATTAGATAATTTTAGCTTATATCGTCCATTTTACATTAAAAGCGAATGCGCACACGCTTATGTGCAACTGTAAAGGTCAACGCGATGCATGCGCAGAAAGTTTGTAGCTTTGTGGTCATTCCGGATTATGGGTGTCCGAATTAACGACTTTTGAATGTATTTCATAATTTTAATTTTGTAATTTCTATACCTCATCTTACTAGATTTAAACTGATGATCGAAAATCTATAAAATTCTGGAATCGGCAAAGTTGTGATGAATCTGGATCTCGGACTTTATACTGTATTCTCTTAATTGAAAAACTGGAAATAAATTGAAGATACTACAACCAATTAATGCCCCAGAAATAGGATTTAAATTGCTGACTTAATTCATAATAAGTTAATACCTTAAATTTTTAATTTTTTCCAAGTTTGGGTGAATAGTAGAGTAAAAGCTTGGGAAGTGCCGAATTCTGGATACATGAAAATTCCTGTTAATTGAGTATATAAAAAACAAAGGGGAAAAAAAATTCTTATCTAAATTTATAAAGAGTAATTTTATTCATTATCAACTTGATTGTCAAAGCTATTATTTAAATTATGTGAGATTTTGAAAGGAAAAAGGATACTTCAGGTATAAATACCAAACTAAAATACCATATTTGCTTATAAAATTTGGTTCAATGTGAAATTGGGTGAATATCTCACCAAATTTGGGCCAGTAATTTTGGCAGAAGTTTGAAGGGACATATCGCTTTTTATTTAGTTAGATAATCAACATATACAGCTTACTGACATTACATATTAAAAGCTTAAATCACTTAATATAATTTTTCATGTTGCACAGACGTGTATCTATATTCACATAAGTCGCACTTTTCTTGCTCGATGCGAGATTTGGTAATTTTGAAAACACTCTACTGTATGCTGTTCACTTGAAGACAGTTGCAAAATTTTAATGATTTTTTCAATTGAAAGTTTTTAAATTGTAATTGAAAGATAGATAAATAGTAGTTAACCATTTTTTTATACAAAAATTAAACCCACTTAGTGAGAATTAATTGAATGTACATCAATGTAAATTGTTAAATCACTCTTATACATTATTAGTATCATTGTCTGAGGGCAGTTTTATTGATTCAGATCATAATCCTGTTTGGGGTTTATAACAGAGTTACAAATCTCTTGTGTGTTTAACGTTATGCTTAAAAAAAAAAAAAAAAAAAAAAAAAAAAAAAAAAAAAAAGGTTAATCTTCGGATTATGGTAACTTGGTGAAAATTTGGCCACCAACCCTGCTACAGCAACCTGCTAGTTTTTTTGGACGCCATTTTGTTTTCACAAAGTAAAGGCATTTTTTTCTTTTTTTTACTCAAAATGTTTTTCCAACAATCTGCTAGCTGAATTACGCTTATGCTAGAACTTTTATGGAACAAAAGTGCTTAATCATGATGAAGATTAGGTGCGAAATTGGGAGAAAGTGCAGAATCGCCCGCTGCTTGCCGCGTTTTTAAAAATTGCACATACACGGTATCCATGTACACGTCGACAACCTATTTTCACTTAAAAAAAATCCCAGAATTGCACAAAAAATGGCATTGCGTACACTCTTGACTTTATCCGTGTACACTGCTGAAGTCCTAGCTAGTAACCTTTATCGCCTTACCAAAATGTCGCCAAACTACCTGTTACCATATTCCAAAGATTAGCCAAAAAAGTTTCTAAAATTCAAAATTGTTTTGGTTATTTGAGCTTTCTAGTTAGGTTGAATGCGAAATAATTGGTCTTTTAATGTATAATTTATTTTTGAAATCATATAAAATTTTTTTATGATTTTAATTTTAATATTAAAATTTTTTTAAAAATTGTCTTGTGTAACTATTCAAGCATGAAATGTGGTTTGAATATTTTATGTTTAAAGTTAGTAGATTTTTTTACACAATCAGCTTAACAGTTTGATTAAAATAAAATATGTTCTGTATTTATTTGTTGTAGAATTTATTTTTAAATCATTGTTACAATTAAAATGTAAATTATAACCAAACAGTGTTTTTTAATGAAAAAATTATTTTGGGAGCTCATATCTCCATTTTTATTGAATATCTTTATAAATTTTTATAACTGTTATCATTTTTATTGCTTGCTTTAAGTTTTATATTGAGTAATTTCCTTTCATATATTAGTTTTTGAAATTGTTCTTTTTGAGTTTAATGATATAACATGCCATATTTTTCAGTGATTGCGGATGATAAACTTGATCTTTTGTCCATCCTTGATCCTTTGAAAAATGAGTTGAAACAACTTTTAGTTTATTCTGTGAAAAAACAAGAGCTTCTTCGAGAAGAATCAAGTTTTTCAGATACAATGAAGTCTAAAGTACTATTTTGTATTATTCAATATCATTTTCTTTTTATTTGAATACTTAGTATATTATGTTTTGTATAGTTACTATTATATTATATTTGATTTGTACTTTTGAATCTACTCATAAAACTATACTTTGAGAATAATCTTAACAGGCGTCTTAGAGAGATATAAGTTGGCTTTAATTTCAGACTGTAGTCTGTCACCGGTAATAATCAATGAAGCCTTTTTATGTATTAAAATAAAAAAATTAGTGGCGTAACAGCCGCAATGGGCCAAGGCCTGCAGTGCCCAAAATCTGCTTTCTTGACTGTGGGCCCCGGGATGCGTAAGCATATGCCCTAAACAAGTGGTCAGCTTGTTGCAGGACCCTCAGTGTTTAGTCTCCAAGTGAACTTGGTACTCATTTTATCGACCCAAGTGATGGAAATCAAGGGATGAAAGGCTGAGTCGACCTTGCCCAGCCCAGTAATCGAACCCCTTACCTGTGGTGCTGCTGTGCAATGCGCTAGCCACTGGGCCTTTTTTATGTATAAAATTAATATTAATGTAGATTATCTGTAAAATATGTGGTAAAAACATATTTACAGGTGCGCATTGATGAAAATTGGTGATTTTGGGTGGTACACGGGTACTGAGTTTGTGCAATTCTTTGACTTGTTATTTTGGCTTGTATAGTGACAATTTTTGTGACAAAAATCGTCGCTACAGAAGGACAAAATAACAAGACAAGTTCAGGTTGTAGTGCAGCAGACACCCATTGTTTGGTAGTGTGGGTGTTGTCCAACTGCACTATCTCTTTATTTTCACATTATAATTTTTTGGGGAAGAATTTTGGCATATTTACATATGATTACAATATAGTTGTGACATATGGTGCCCTTCATACTCGAATACATAATGTTAAATATAGAACATAATGATAAATACAGAACATAAAGACAAAATATATAACATAAAGGTAAATATATAACATATTGTTACATAATGACATACATATATTAATACATTTACAAACATATATATATAGCATGATTATATACATAAATGCAAAGAGCACTTTTTTTGCTTGTATATGTAAGAGAGTATTGTAATGTATTTTGCAGTAATTGACAAAATAACAGATAATCTTCTTAGTAAAACATAAATTTTATTTTTAGTTATGGAGATAGATAATTTGAATACAGTCTTTTAGTTCCAAATTTTTCATGCAACTATTAGCTGGTAAAACTTCAGAATTCTAATTTTAAACAAGTTCTTACGTTGCTGAGCAACGGTTACATCATACAAGTATGGCATTGCCACTTCAATAATAAATATAGTTATTTGTTAAATAACAAAATATTACATCCTCTTTCCCCTCCAGATTTTTTTTTTTTTTTTCAAAACAACAGAATATCAACACAATACATAATTGAAATACTACATATAACATAATAATATACAATAAGAAAGAAAGAAAAGAACAAAATATCTTTTATGTCTATATAAGGAAATAAATTATTTAATCAGGCCAGGGAGTACGTCTTAATGTGCCTACATTTGTATGGTTTTTACCACCTCGATGAACAAACGTGTAATTGTAGGGTTGTAGTACTAGTGCCCATCTTATAAGTCGTGGATTTAGACTCACATTATTTTTGAGCCAAACTAGGGGATTATGATTGGTCATGATGAGGAATTTAGTATGCCCATCTAAATAACATTGAAGTTTCTTTACAGCAAATATTATGGCGCCACATTCCTTTTGTATGGTAGAGTACTTTTTTTCAGTTTCTGTAAACGTCTTACTGAGGTATAATACTGGATGCTCATTGTCTCGTTCATCTTTTTAAGCTAAAATACTTGCATTCTCATTGAACATGGCAACTTTAAATATCTTTTATCATGTTTGTGCCTCTTTGCTAAGTTTTTTGACACATGCTTTGATTCTCAACGTATTTTTAATTTCTTCGCTTTCTCATCATCTTTGATCTGCTGCTAACAAACTGTCAAACACATCTTTACTTTTTGGGGAAGAAGGAACTAAGGAACTTGCCTATATATATATAAAGTACTTTCAGTAGATTTTTGGTGTTTATTAAATAATTGTCGGAATTTTTCCGCACTCAATTTAAATTGTTGTAACAGTAAAGTTTTTACATACATACTTTAAATTTTTGTTTAAAATTTTTTTTCATTCCTCCGTTCTCTAGTTCTCTCTATATAATATGAACAATAGGAGGCAGCATCAGGAGCATGAAATAAGTTGAGTCACTTGATTTTCAGCAGGTATATTCATAATTTTAACTTGGCGTTCAAATAACACCAGAAATAAACTTATTTAATCTTCTTTAGGGTTGAAACGTGGCATGACATCATGAATTCTGATTTTTAAAGGCTGCTCAGGTAACTGCGTAGTTTATACCAGGTGTTCTCTTGCAGCCATAGCTTCCAATTGAAGTTTCTCTAACGTAAATGCTCTTTTGCGTTCCTTTTCTCTTTCTTCTCTTTCGCATTCCTTTTCTCTTTCTTCTCTGTTCCGTTCCTTTTCTCTTTTACATTCCTTTTCCCTTTCTTCTCTTTCTCTTTCTTCTCTAATTGCAGCCAGTAGTTCTCGAGTAAATTCCTCATCATAACCAGAACTTTCAGTAATCAATTTATGCAACTGAGCAATCTTAAATTCAGGTTTCACGGTTAAACCTTTCTGCTAATACTTTTAAATTCTGTTTTTTACTCCTAGCTAAGAATGACATGTTGAACAAGTTACATTTAATAGGCTTTCTTTTAAAATTGAATCTTATAAATAGTACTTGTATTAAATATATATATATATAAAATTTTGGGAAGACTTAAATTGTCCAATACAAAACTAACACTAACCAATTGGAGAGAATTATCAATAACTTTGCCAGGTTGGAACAAATAATATAATTCTGCGCCGAGTGGATGTTTTAACTCACTATTCACAAGCCTCGTTGGCGATAACTATATAAACATCTTTGCCAGTTAGGGAATACAATGGAATTTTATCTACGTCAGTGTGACGATTTTACTATCTACTATCTCCATGCCTGGTTGGCAATAACAAAAGCAATTTTTACCAGTTTGGCAATACAATTTTTACAATATACAATCTATAATACGTCGGAATGATGTTGCTATCTACCACATGCCTGGATGGCGAGAACTAAGAAAAGACTTTTTCCAATTCTGTAGTAAAATCAAATCACACTACGTCAGTTTGACATTACTACTTATTTTCCACACACCTGTTTAGCAACAAATTAAAAAACTCAGCTAGCAATTTTTTTTTTTTTTTTACATAAATGCTGGGATGGCGTGCGTACACATATCAATTATCAACATAAAAAATCAATACAAATAACAGTAAAGGCTAAATAATAATTTAAAATTCCTTTTTTACCACAAATACCAATTATAATTTATGCGTAAAATTTTTAATATCAGTTATTTTACACAAAAACTTACACTATTTAAATATAATTCTGATATGAAATACTTAAATTCTATAAACAGTTTTTTATGAAACCAAAAGTTAATCTTATCTTCGGAGATCAGCAATATCCTGTTCTGACAATTCTTTGCTTGGACGCAAGTTATAGAAACACAGAAGATAACCGTTGAATGATCCACTTCAAAATCTGGCTTTAACACGGCAGACTTCTGACACCCAATTCACCTTGAAATAAAAAAACTCTGCAATTGGTACCAGCAAACTTGTTCCCAAAATTTCAGCCACATTCTTGGATTATGTGACCAGCACCATCGAAATTGATAATTGCACTCCTAATTTCCAGTATCTCGGTGGAACCTCCAATTTTATAAGACTAATGTATTTTGCAGTAATTGACAAAATAACGGATAATCTTCTTAATATAACATAAATTTTGTTTTTAGTTTACGGAGATAGACAATTTGAATATAGTCTTTTAGTTCCAAGTTTTTCATGCAACTTCTAACTGGTAAAACTTCAGAATTCTAATTTTAAACAATTTCTTACGTTGCTGAGCAACAGTTACATCATACAAATATGGCATTGCCATTTCAATAATAAATATAATTATTTGTTAAATAACAAAATATTACAGTATATACTGAGTCAGGCTGAAATTATTTTATATATGAATTTTTTTTTCAGAATATTTTAGACTTTTTTTTTTTTATTTTATTGGATGCGAAGAAGTGTTTGTATGGTCCTCTAGTCTTTTTGTTAGTTCTAGTCTGTACTTTTGTCAATTTTGTCCTTCAATGTTTTGTCAAGTAGGTCATTTTGTCAATTCTAATTAAAATTTTTTGAAAGTTCCAGTGTGTTATTTTTTGCTTATCTTGTATTGCACAATTCTTCTCCTCTACGAGCGAGGAATATGACTGAGGGTTCTATTTTTCTTCTTAGTTGTTTGATTTTTAGATCTATTTGTAAGCACTGATATATGTTAGTCTCAGGAAGTTTCAAGTGATAGTTTTTTGTTAATGGACATTTGAAGATAGGTTGGGTACTCCATTTCATGAACTCTCCAGTTTCTTATTGCATTTGCAAGTCTTATTGATGAGAGCGTGATGTCTGGCCAATCACGACCATGAATAGTCTTGTATGTCGGTGGGGCCGTTGTATCATTATGAATAAGAAGATTGTTAGAAGAAATGAAGTCTTCCAATGATTCACCTCTAGTGTCATATGTCGATCCCATGTTGTGCTATGAGTATCCTCATGTTGTGCTATGAGCACTAAAATTCCCTCCTATGAGGTGGTATGCTTTTTTCTAAATGCTATTGGAGAGCATTCTACTACCTACTTTGTGGTGTGATTTCTGTTGTCATTGAGACAAAATGAGATTTTTAGTCCTGACGGATCGACTTGAGTATTGTCGGAAATGATTTTTAAAAGCTCTTCTGGAGTGGTAACATTATGGATTGCGCAACATTATGGATCATGTGCAACATTATGGATTGTGCATTTTGGTGGAATTCACATATTGATTTTTCTTCCTCGTCTGAGTCACATCTCACTG